AACAACTGCCCAGAATTCTACATCAGAGAAACAGGAAGAAAATTGGAAACCAGATTCACAGAACAATAAATGCCATCCGAGGTTTTCCACCATTGCAACTCAAAAAACCATGGTATATCTATTAAAACACAGTAATGTTAAGCAAAGAACCAAACGTAAACAAACGAAAAATCAAGGAATCTATCTCAATTGAAAAAAACAACCCTACTCTAAACCAACACCTTGGGGTGCCAATATATCTCTTCTAAGTCGTGCAACAGTATCCTGTCCTGTGACCTCTTTTCCATACTGTGTGTGTATATATAGATATATATTTATATATATCTGTGTCAGTGTAAATTATTTGTACCTGATGATGACAAAACCTTGTCAAAATGTTGTACATCTACTGTTATGTTAAACTTATATTAAAGTTTTTCTTCATTACCCATTCAAGCCATCTCCAAGCATTATTAGTCTCAAAGTGGATTCCTCGTCATTGAACTTAAACTTGGAAATTACCATGAAGCAATTGCACAAATTCCTCATAATCCTGAACTGCTTCAAAGTGTTTAACTGTGTAAATGGTACAGTATATGTAATCTTTTCCATCTGTACACTGGTTTCTTTGTGCAGATGGTACAAATGGGTAAGCTTTTCTGTTTCTACACTAACATTAGTGTCTCACCCTGCGGGTGAAAACAGTTTGGTTGTTTGTTTCAGAGCCAAGCCACATTGGATTATCTTCTGGAATCGAACCCAGGATTTTAGCCTTGCATATCCTTAAATTTACCACTGTCCCACTGAGGACAGGTAAAAGAGATAGGTAAGCTTTACTCTTTGTATACTGCTGGTGTTTCATTGTGGTGAAGAAACACAATAGGTAATCCTTTGCTCACTGATTCTAAGTGTTTCACTGGTGGTATAAATTATATAAAAGGAAGTAATTATGAGTAATATATTTAACATCAGACATGCTTGTCAAGCTATTATTCTTTTATTTGGTCTATCTCTTATCAATCACACAAACCATTTTAAACTCGTGTTTCGTTTGTTTGTGTTTGAATTTCGCGCAAAGATACACGAGGGCTATCTGCTCTAGCCATCTCTAATTTAGCAATGTAAGACTAGAGAGAAGGCAGCCAGTCATCACCACCCAACGCCAACTCTTGGGCTACTCTTTTACCAACGAATAGTTGGATTGACTATCACATTATAATTCCCCCCTGGCTGAAAAGGCGAGCATGTTTGGTGTGATGGGGATTCGAACCCACGACCCACAGATTGCGAGTCGAGTGCCCTAACCACCTGGCCATGCCAGGCCAACTTGTGTTTCCATATACTGTCATTACTGTTACTTGGTAAGGAATATTCAGGTATAATATTTCAACATTTCCTTTTTTGTTAGTCAGCAAAGTACAGATGTCTCTGGGCCACTACTTAACCAGAGGAGTTTGGCAGACCTCCAAGCAATTAATTAACCACCAGTGTTCTGGTGACTTCCTAGACGCTAATTAACCAGCATGGTTCTGGCGACCACAGTACTATTAGTTAACACATCAATGTCAATGCAGCCAAGTTTATGATTTTCTTGGCATAATAACCCAATTTGAAAATGAAAAGCAATTCAACAGAAAGTTTGACTGTTCATGGAAATATCCTGCATCGTAATTAAGATTATTGGAAAATATATTGTTACGTCTCCATTTGTTAATTAACTTTCTGTAACTTCGTTCCGACGAAACTTAACGACACAAGTCCTTACTTAATAAAACTGGTTTATTCTTTCTGAATATAACTTTACGATACACTTATTTTCAACAATTGCGCTAAAACAAACGCTATATCAACGAACGTCAACAATACTTCTGACTGCAGTTCAATTACTCACTATCTACACACACATTACCTTACCGTCACGTTGTCACCCTCTTTTATATACCAGACTACCCTATATCTAGTAAATGCTAGAGCATTCGTCAAGGTACAGGATAGTTCTAGAAAGCAGGGGGCCTGACACTAGTCATGTGACTTCGCTGACGCAACACTGCCCCTCCTTAATATTGTATACACACAACAAATCGTTCTTTAACGTATCTAATTCGCTTTTAAATTTACTGATGTTTTCCATTTGTACCTCTTGCCATTGTTGTTGATTTTCCTGTAGTTGCTGCTGACTTTCTTCCTGTTTCCTTTCTTGTTCCAGTTGCCACTGCTGTAATCTCTCTTCTTGTTTCTTTTCTCGTTTTTCTCGTTTATTTTCTTTTTTCTCCAACAACTGCTGTTATCTCTCCTCTTCTTGTTTCTTTTCTCGTTCTTCTTGTTTCTTTTGGTGCTCTTGTATTGCTGCCATCACGTCTGCTATGCTGTAGTTTGATTTGCCACTTCTCTTTTCCATTTTTTTTGTCCCACTCTCTGACACCAATTTGTTACGTCTCCGTTTGTTAATTAACTTTCCGTAACTTCGTTCCGACGAAACTTAACGACACAAGTCC